GAGACAGATAAAAACATCCTCATGACTGTGGAATTCTCGTCCTGATGAGACAGTCGGGCTCAAATTGCAGTAAGCATTAGCAGGACTTGAGCTCTGGCTTGTGGATTTACATGGGGGTGGACCTGGGTTCTGTCTTTCATGTTCTTGAATGTATACAGTTTTTTTTCAAGATATATTTTAGATCTGTGATTTCTTTAAAGTAGCTTTTGTAAGCTGAAATTCAGTGAAAGTTTTCTTAGTAGTAAACAAAGTAATGTGCTTTCCTGTTAGTCTACAGGATAGAAAGCCCAGGAATTTAGCTACTGTCAGTGACAGAGTCTCAACTAATGCTGACATTAATAATATTAATTATCTGTGGTTCTGAAGGTATGTTACTGAATTCTCTTGGTGTCCCGGAATGCTGTCTAGCGTCCAGATGATGACAGCAGTTCACTGGGAATCTACACTGGATAAAAACAGGATGTTTCACAAAATAATTAAAATAATTGACTTCCCTGTGGTCTGTCTGGTAATGCTGTTTCTCCTATGATCAAGTTTCAGTAAGTAGGAAGAAAATTTTTTTTCCCACATAGATGGAAATCTAATAAAGTAGACTGCTGAGTTAGCCTTTGCAGAATGACACTAATGCAGTACCATTACTTGGTAAGAGATTCTTTTGTTCTGATACTTTCTTTCATACTTTAGGATGCTAAATATTTTTTTAAATGAGTTTGTTGTGGAGAAGTCATAAATACCAGATGATTGTAGTTGCATAATCTGTTACTTACATATTAAGAAGATGGATATTCTGAGTTTGAGGCCTGTCAGTTCAGAGAGAGAAAGGTAGGAGTAACCTCCTGCCCTGGCATCATTCTATCACATCTGTAATAAAAATAAACTCAACAGTTTTTTGAATTGGGAAGAGATGGACTTCTGTCAAGCAGCTGGAAGTTTGTAAGCAGGTGAGGTGTATATCTGTACTAGCACAAGGGCTGTTTTATCACCTGAGCTAGCAGGTGAAGCAGAGAGCAGCCAGCATACCTGGAGTGCCCAGATCCAGCTCATATTGAGCCCTGCAGTGTAAGTCCACCTTGTCATCTTGTCAGGCATTCCTGGAGCTTTGATACTCTTCTGGTCACAGTTTGTGTTAGGCCTCTTAGGACCCACCGTTGGAGGAGTGCCTTTGTATTAGGCTTATGCTGTCAGGAAATTTCCTATCCCTCCCTGTGGCTTTCTCTTTTTTATCACTAGGTCCCTTTCCAGGAACAAATGGGACACTTTTTGCATGAGGGGACAGAGCTGAGCTTCAGACCTAAAAATCTACATATATATTTGAAATCAGAGTTAAAGGACTAAGAGGTGGAATATCAGGGACCTTGAAATTTACATTTCTAGGTGGAGGCTGTCATATAGCCTGGTCTCCTTGCATATACCTTTCCTCCTCCCAGATATACTGACAGGTCACAATTTGAGTCTTGTAACCACATGTCAGTAATTTCTGTCCAGAAATTGCTGGCATTTTCATTGCCTGTGTACAACAGTTCCAATGTATTCTGGATTAAAAGATTGGTCAAACAGTGCATGTGTTGTAGACCTGATGTCTGGCACACAGATCTTTGTCTTTGAAATTCCAGAAGATGTATGGTAACATGATGCCATTTTGTTCCTAAAAATTTGCAAGACAAAATACTTTGGTTTGGAATAAATCCTTTTGGGATATCTGCTCTCTTGGTTCTGAACTGAGATGGTTATGTATATATATATATGTATGTATGTGTGTATTAATTTTGATGCATCCTACTGGTTGCAAATTTTAGTTTTCATCTACTCACCCACATAAATCACTGCACAAATCTGGAAAGGAGAAACACTAACCCTAAGTAGGTGTCCTGGGTATCACAGCATACATACACAAGAGAAGCAGATTAAAAAACCCTAAGCAACTTCTGATTTGGGGTTTCCTATGTTATAGATGCTTTCCTTTGCCATCTGGTGTTCTTTTTCTGAGGAATTATTTCATTAAACTTCTCAATTTTTTCTATTTTCCAAATCGAAAGATAAATAAAATTATTTTTGTGTAGCAGTTAACAAAAATATTGTTGGGTTTTGGCAGTAGAACTGTTGAGCTTTACAGTACATTAATTCCTTAAATGAAATTTTTTAGTAGTCCAACTAAACTACGGCTGTGTCCACAGTGTTGTCATATGCTAAATCTCTTTTCTCTGTACTGTTAAGCATTTTTCCTGAGATCATCATCCTGGTTTCTTTGGGTTATCTCCACAACTAGAATGTTTCCATAACCTTTCTGTATTTAATTATAATACTAGTTGGATGAAGTACAGTTTAACTTCTGGTTTTTCTATAATCAAAAAATTCTTAACAAAGATCACACAGTGCAAACAGAATTTGGTTGATTCTGTAGTCTAAAACATAGCCTGCTTGGTTGAGTTCTTGTATGTCAGTGTTCTCTGCCTTCAGATATTCTTCTTGTCTTTAAGAAGTTTCCAAAGTGCACTGTGTGGCGAGTTGCCTGATCCTCCAAGTGAGGTCTTAGCCTCACTTGGTTGTTTCCAGATGCTTCCTGAGGCTTGCAGACCTTTCATAGCAAAGCAGGACCTAGAAGTCATTGTGAGATCCTTGTGCTTATGTTTAAACTTGGTTAGAATACTCTAGATACTTCTTTTACTATTTTTCCTGTAAGCAGTGACCACAAGGAGATTATGTAATTTTGAGTAGGCAGAGAGATGATCCACATGATTGTGAAAGAAAAAGGGAGTTTTTTGTGAGAATATGAAGATGTAATCCACATGGTGAAAATATTTGGGAGCTATGAGCTTGAACATAAAATGGACTGCAGCTTGTGCCCTGTTCTACCTTAGTGCCTTTGCCAACTTTTATTATGGAGTCAGCTCGGTTCACACTTGTTGCAGGTTTATCAGTAAATAGCATGCCTGTGCCCACAATCACTAGATTAATTAACTCCTTTTTCCAGTGCTTTCTCTTCACATCCTATTGATTTGGGTTAGTTTTCACTTGGCTGCCTGCAGTACATAGCAGAGAGCTGTACTCATTACTTCCTTCCCCATGCATGCATGTCAGCTGAAGAGAGAAACTTGAGCAGACAGGGGATTTTCTCCATAATTTCTGGCAACAGCAACCTCTGGTTCAAGCAGTCCACTTGTCAGCCTAGTCTGTATGAACGTCAACATAAAGTTACCCCTGTTTAGCAGATATTCTAAAGCAGCCTCTGTTGGCTGGGGACCAAGCTTGTGGGCAGGCCTGGTTCAGTCATGGGGTGGCAAAATTAGACAATGAGATAGACCTTTGGGAAAGAGTCCTTGGGAAGTACACAGGCACTTCAGCTCCACTAACTTCTAAATGATGGGTTTGGCCTAGACTATCAAGGCTAGACTTGCTACCTGAGAGGTGTTGTGGGCAAATATGAAGCTGCAGAGAGGGGTGTGATGGGATGATGGACAGGAGCAGAGTAAATGATCCTAAGTAGCTGTACTAACCTGTGCTGAAGCCAAGTCTGAATCTTTTGCAGTTCTGAAGCTGAGTCCATTAGGCATCAGGAATCTGAGCTGTCCCATCACTGCATTCAGAGAACCTGCTGTGATTCCTGGTTTATGGTAGTATACAGCACAGGGAGAAACAGTGCTTGAGCAATGGGGTGAACACACTACAGCAAAATAAGATTTTTTGGTCAAGTATGAGCACTTAAGTGTTCTCAGTAACTTTCTGATGTCCCCGTTGATGGAGGCTCCATAGAGATTGTCCTTCAGCACCTAACAGGGCAGCTAAGACAAGGTAGTGTGAATGCTTTTGCCGTGTGAGCCAGCCTAATTCCCTTAAACAGCTCTACCTTCACGTATTACTTTTTTGCAATTATATTTCCCAGTACAATAAAAAGACCACACAGCTTCACAATTAGCATGATGACATTGGAATGCAGTAAATAAAGTACAACCTAATCAAGGATGTATTCCCACAGAAAGATGACAAAGGAGGGTTCCAGATAAACATTTGCAGGACAATAACAAGTTTCTGATTGTAAATACATGCTGGGTGTCTTGACATAGAAGTTCATAAAGCTAATTTGGAGCAGCTAAACTGGTTTGGCAGAGTCTCTCATTTTCTTATCATAGGCTTTTGCTTTGCTAATTACATTTATATATTTTTACTTTGGTCTCATCTAGTAAAATTTTTATAGCATTAAAATAGCTATAGTATATAGGAATGAAAAAAATAAATTATCATCAATAAATAAGTGATTCCAGTAGGAATATTTTATTAAAACATCATGAGTTGAATTCCATTTGGTATTAAGCGATACTGACAGTACAGCAGTGGCAAATGCTGTGAAATTTAAGCATGGCATGTCAGAGTTATCTGTGGGTGCAACACCTCATCCATCAGCAGTTTCCTGAAGGAAGCATTTGGCATCCCAAGATCTTTGTTCAGGATTTTGTTAGACAAGCTTCCTGGTCACTTGTATATGGAACAGCAAACTGAAATTATGTTGAGCAGCCACTAGAACTTTTAAAAATGATACTGTTCTCTTTTAGCCTGCCACTGTTTTTATGCATATGACTATTTTTCAGGTGCCAAAAAAACATCAGTCATAACTTTGGTGTAGCAAGGCCATGCAAGAACCTTGAAGAAGTTGTGTGCTCACTGAATTTGTGTATGTGATGTGTCGAGACCCTTGGCAGCAAATAGACCATTTAGAAAAGAAGCATAAGGCCAAATTCTGTCAGTTGAATTAAGCTAGTTACTCTGCTGTGACTTGAGAGTAGGATTTGTTTCCAGGATTACTGGCCACCAGTTCTATGATTTGATGTCATGAAGAAATTGCTTCATTACTTGCATGGCTGGGTAAGGATAGGATGAGCATTGCTTTGTGCAGATACATTGCTGTGTGGTTGTGAGCACATCAGTGTAACATGCATTGCTACAGAGGTACCTTATAGTCTGAAGGAGTATGAGAAATTCATGTTATTGTCTTCTTTTACTTACAGATCAATGCAATCCGATCAGTTGTTCCGAACAGAAGCAATAATGAGATAGTTCTGGTGTTGCAGCAATTTGATAACAATGTAGACAAGGCAGTTCAAGCTTTCATGGATGGTGAGTACAATGTACCTTTTTCACTAAGGCAGGAGCAGTTCGATCACATGCCAAAGTATTTGTTGTCTCTAGTGGCTCAAAATATATTATCTGATGTGTGACACTTGTTAATTATAAAAAAATAGATCCTCCTGTCTGCATCTTTGCTTCTTCACAGTACGTGTTTGACATGGCCGTTCATCTGTTCTACCTGACTTTGCCATTTCTGAAGCCATTCTTACTGCAGACCTGCTTCTTTTTTCTGCTTGAAAGTTAATGCTTTGTAAAGTAATATGTCAGGAAATCATTCACTATTGAAGATACAGTAACTAAGAACAATTCGGGATAGTTCTGAAGCACATAAGCAGGCCCCTAAATCCCTGAATTCAATGCATACATTGACATTCAAACCTCAATCTGAATTTTGCAAATAGCCTTGACATTTATGATGGCTGAACCAAGACTCCATTGAAAGTTCGAGCCATTTAAACCTGGATCCATGTTTGTATTTTGTGTCATGAGACCATTTCTAATGAAAGGTCACTTCTATTTTAATATCACTTACCTGGTAAATATATAAAGTCAAGTATTTTGAACTTTCACCACAATTTGTGAGAAACTCTTCGCAGAAGTAATGGCATACCATGAGCAATCTTTTCAAAATTTTTGTAGCTTGGGGTTACATAAATGATAGTAGAGGTTAGGTGGTAATAAAGGGCCCTGTATATCTTAAAAATGCCTCATTTTTGTAATCTCAGCAAGTTGCTTAATTCATGCCTATTTTACTTAAGAATATTTTTGGGTTTTATTTGGAATAACTTGTATCAGTCAAAAAGCATTGTCATACTAGGAATTACCAATATGCAGATGCAAGCAAATTGGATTATTTATAAATGTATCAAAATTCTTCCATCAAATCTATATGGTTCTTTTTGCTTCAGGCAACTGCACAGACAGTTACATTCTGAGAGATGTATTGAAATTGCATTTGTCTGTGCACACAGTGGAAAAGGAAAGTGTGATGCATCTAATTAACAATAATTTTGTTTTCCTGTAATGTGTGTCCTGGGGAAGGTAGTGGAGGATTGTTCCATGACTATTCAGTGAGATACTTTCGCTTTATTTTTTCATAAGTTGCCATGGCTTGCTTGTGGCTTATGAATTGTTTCCAATGGTTCCTCAAAAGGGGAAGTGCTTTCACAGCCATATGTCATCACCTGCTGTAAAGAAGAAACAGGGCAAACACAAGCTTTGCAAGAAGTCCAATAAAGCCCAAGTTCAGGTGATCTTTGTTTGAACTTCACCAGTTCATGATTACTGTTCAGAAGCCTTTGTTAGGAGTATATGAAAATAGCTAATATTTGTTACTGTCTGGAAAGAGCAGAAAAGATACCTGTCCATGCAGCTGCTGCTGTGGATAGAATGAATAATTGAAATATTTTTTCACATGAATGACAAAAATAGCTAAGATTGAAATAACACTCGCTGAGAAGTCCTGCAATGTAAAACATTGGGGTGGCCATGCTGAATGGAAAGGTTGAGCCACCTCCATGCAGTGCTTCTCTCAGAAGTGGTGCCTCCTGAATCAAGAATTATTCAAATTTAATTTCCTATCTTGCTTCATATCTGGAGTGATATTTAGGTGATGCCTCTGTTATGAATTTTATTCTAAATGTGAAATTTTATTTAAATGAAAGAGGGTTCAAATGTTTTATTTGCTATGCTAGTTTACCTAATTAAGCATAATCAGAAGGTCTGTTCAGCTGCTTTGTAGATGTGTTTGATAAAATATACTGGTGAATTCAAATGAGGGCTTTGGGATTTGGGCAGTTAGTGCATTTCCAATTGGAAAAAACAGAGGTTAGTTGGATGAATTCCCTAAAGTAACTCTCAGCATGCACAGTATTCACAGGGAAGCTGAGGGAAGCAAAGCAAAGACACCACCAGCCAACACAAAAAGGCTGTTGGTTGCTACTGTGAAAACAGTTAACAAAGCTGTCACATGAAATCACATATTTGCAGCATCGTGGAGTAAAATGGGCAGCAAATGTTTATTACTTCATACAGAAATATGGTGCCTGTCAAAAGATGATGTACCTTTAGGAGAGGGGTTTGTGCTTACATGTACATAAGTATGTATGTAGCTAATTATAAATATGTATATAGTTATATATTAAATGGAAGTTGTCTTAGCCTTCTATCTGTGTTGTTGTGTCATCTAGTAAATAAAACATGGCTTTGATGGATTCCATGCAAGTCTTTTCACAGTTTAACAAATTTGGCTTAGCAAGATATGTAATCTTTCCTACTGGTGTGTGATAGGCTCACCAGATAGTCTTGGATCTGGTTTATTGTGATAGAATGGTGATTTTGGTACATCTGAAAATCTCACATGTCTTTGGCTGAATACAAGTTGACAACTCATGGTGGTATGAAAACAGCAATTCTTCTTCATAGTAATATCAAGATTTCACTGAAAGAAATGAGAAGAATGGCTGAATATGAAATCTACTTGAAAAGGCTAGTAATTGAATATTTACTAGATTTGTGAAGTGATGGTAAAGTGATTGTTAAATTCAAGCAGAAGACCTTTAATCCTGATGGTAATTAAAAATATTGTTGTGTCAGATACTGCCATAGTAGTCTGGATGACAGTTCAGACTGCATGCTTGCCATAAGATCTATTTTCAGCAATAGGCTCCAGGAGAACCAAATGATAATGTTAATTAGGAGAAGAATTTTCTTCTAACATGGCAGCAGGCACTGGTCTGACCAAGTCTCTGTCTGCTTTCTTTCATGAATTTATCTAAGCAACTCATTATGGCTGACAGGCAGAATTTCAAGTATAACAGTAATTACTTTTCAGTATAATTTTTTACCATTCTTTTCTGCCAGGCCTAAGTTTACTGCATTTGTATGATGCACTTTTTAATGCAAGAGTCCACAAAATTACTCTTTTGGATGCTAATTCTTTACTTTTTATACTCTTGTGAAGATGACAAGTAACACATAGAAAATACATGATAAAAGTGCCGAAAGTTTTTAAAACTTTCAGATGCTCTAGAGTCAGGGTGGACTATTTATTGTATGCAGTGTTGACTCTGAGTGCTGAGATACTTTCCTTTTCAGGCAAGAGATTTGAGTGTTTATTTTTCTGGGTCTTATGCTAATGTTTTCTGTTAGGGACACAATCACTTTGTGCAGTGAAGTGCATAAAAAGCCAGCAGTGCCAAGTAGACCATCCACTGTAAGTAGTGTAATTAAAACAGGTAACTGGGAAGAAGAAAGGCAGCAGTGTCCATTTTGTTCTCCCCACATAAGAGAATTTACAAGAAATTGAAATGCTTCTCAGCTAGGGGATTAGAAACTGATCATGAACACACTGGTTGTTTTTCATAGCTGAACTTTTGTTGAAATGTTTTATCTTTCCTTTCTCTAGGCAGTGCAGCTCAGGTTCTAAAGGAATGGAATATGACAGGGAAAAAGAAGGTAAGAATTTACTCTTGAGAGTCAAAGCATTTAAATCACATGTCAGCTGTTTGTACTTGAATTGTAGTACTTTGGGTCAGTACTTGGCCTTTTCTATCCCCGGTGACTTCATTCACACCTGTAGACAGTCCTTGAAAGCAAATGTGTGTACTATTTTTAATCTTACTCTTCTGTCATTGTCTCACTAAGCCCAGTGTTTGAGCAAATTTCTGGGACAGCACATGCATGTACCTGGGTGTGGGAATCAGACCCTGGATAAGCACAGGACAAATCCCAAAACAGTCCATGAGCAGAAACACTTTCAATAAGAAACTGTATCCTGGATAGTCACAGCCACTTAGAGTGCTCAATTTACTGATGGTATTCTGAGTTTGTATGATTTGCATTGAGTGATGTCTCTGTTCTTGTGATATTTCTCCATTTAGAACAATAGGAGAAAAAGAAGCAAATCTAAACAGCAGCAGCAAGGCAATAAAGATCCTAAAAACAAGAATAATGGACCTGAGAAGGCATCTCAAGAGCCTCAGCGAATAAATGACTGTCATATGAACGGATGCCCTAAGGACAGCTCTGGCCGTGGTTCTGCCAATCAGAAACTGGAAACCACTTCTCTTGAGAACAAAGGCTCTGGGTCAGCACTGGACTGTCCAGAAATCAAAGGTCAGTTCATCTGACAGGGAGCATCTTTTCAACTGGCAGTAGCCAAGCCTTCATTGACATAAAGATCATGGTATTTTTATTGCCATGAAGATGTTGTAGAGATGTTTTTGTGGAAAAATAATGCACATAACTATCAAAGTCATGGTGATAGATTTATATCTGCACACTATTCATCTTGCAATATGTTTCGTTGCAAAATGTGTATCTTCTCCTATAGGCAGCCCAACTGATACGGAATATTACACGTAGAAATATGGAAGAATGCAGGGTTAGAAAATAGCTTGAGTGTCAAATTGTTAGCAAAATGATGAAGTCTCTCATGTGAGGTAAAGTTATCTGAGCACTATGAGCTTGTGGCATATTACTGGATTTCTTTAATTCTTAGTTCCAACTACCCCATTTTTTCTTTCTTACTTCCCTACACAGGCTAGTCACAGTAGACCTCCACTAGCTTTTCCTAGCAGGGAGGGGAGGGTCCTTGTGCATGCACTTAGTTTCTCACAGGGTCTGGTTATCTAGTTACCATTTCTGAAACTGAGGGGCTGTAACACACAAAGTTCTTCCTCGCTGTAGTAGGTACAGAGTTACAATTATACCAACACCAGTGTGAACAAACTCACTGCTGTGGGGCAGAAGCTCTGTGAAAGCTCCTGCCTACAAGTTCATAAAGATCATATTGAATTGTTGTCACTACTGGTAGTGTTTCTTCAGTTCTTCACATTTCAGATGTCTGACCGGTCTGGGTTTTTGCTGCTGTTAATATTTTCTTCCTGTGTCTTAAGAACTTTCCTTGAAATCCCTTTTTCCATGGTTGCAAGTACAGCTCTCAAACCCCATTTTAATAGAATGTGCCCAAGTAATAATTGTCCTAAAATTAATTATCTACTGCTTTTGGATTACTTTGGTGGTGCCAACCTCTGACTAATTACATGAAGGCTATGCAACCTATAGCAGCCAAACAAACTACTTAGCAAGAAATTTTGTCCTAAAAATTTCTTGCCTCACAAAGGACCAAAGATACACTCTCTGCCCTTGCTAGACTCCCACTTAGCTTTGGATAAAATATGCCACAAGCCAGAAAATGCTGAATTTCCGTAATACTAAAAGCATTTTTGCCACCTGTTTTGCAAGACACAAACATTTGTGCTATAATTAGAGTGGCATTTTTTGAAATTATACATGCATGAAGAAAGATATGTAGACTTAATTTCCTATGCATGGGGAGTGTTTTTCTAGGGGGTACAGAAGGCAAGAAGAGTACCCATGCTGTTAGTGATCTTTTTATGGGTCAGTGGGTTTAAATCCTGCATTTTTCTCTTTGAAATAGTTAAGAGTGAGTTGTACATATCAAGGGCAAAAAGTATCTGGAAATTTTTCTTTGCTTTTGCAAGTGGCAGTGAGAAATTACCATAGCTTTACAATTCTTTTTCAACTTAAACACATCTTTCCTATTTCAATGACGAGGAGAGAGAGCTTTCAAAAAAAAGGCAGAAAAAAAGGAAAGGAAGTAGAGAGAAAAGAAAACCTGAAACTCTAATATTCAAGTTTCCCTTACATAGTAAAATAATTTCCTGGCAAATATTTTAATAGAAGAAAATAATTTCATCTTCACTGTCGGTTGCACTAATATCCTTTTCTTTTTCAGTCAGTATGATAACTACTTCTTTAGGGTCAAAAGCTACCTCTATTCATAATGGTACATTTGTGCTGAAGTGATCAGGATCCTTCAGGGGCCAGCAGCTGTGCCCTTGCAGTTTCTGAGCAGCTCAGAAACTCTTTCAAAGCAGTGTGAAATGTTGAAGTGAGTCCAAAGTGCACCTGTTTCATATTGCTCTCTCTTGTGTTGTAATCTCATTTGTATTGTCCTTGTCTGGCTTGTTTGTTTTGGTTCCTTCCCTATCAAGTGAATGTTACTGTAGTCATTTCACAGTCTCCTTCAGAGGGCTCACAGCTCAGAAGGATCATAGTTGTCTGTTGGGAGTCCCTAATGCTTTCCTCCCCATGAGGAACATAAGGTTGAAGTTTTGCCTATACCAACTCCCAGTCTGTGAGATTAGGACTTTTAGACCCATAAAATCCTGGCGGCCTGGAAGGGAGGATGCAGCATTTCTCCATAGAAAATTAGAGGCAGAAACATTTGGTGTTGCCTTTAGTTCAGGTCTGCTTATTTCTTGCCATTATTCCATCTTCCTTTTTCTTAGACATCTTTAGTTGCTGCTACCCTTTCTGTGCATGGCCTTGTAAAGAGGCAGTATGAATGCACTGAAAGGATATTTAGTGCTGCCTTGCCATGCTATTGCTTTTGCAGGGACCTTGGTAAAATCAGATCCTGATCTCTACCCTGTTTTTCAGGTAGGAAGATTTTTAATGAGTCTTTTGAAATTCGTGTTTGTATCTTAGGGGTCATACAGCTTTTTTTCTTCTTTCAGCCAAGGAATCTATGAGGTTCACTTGATTTGAAAGGTATTGAATGGTAAGCTGCTGCAAAAAGATAAACCACTCATTTTGAAGATGGCAGCTCAGCAGATTTCAGAGCAAGTTAATCTGGGCTGTTGCCATTACTGGCAGGCTTGGTCATACTTGACTGTTAACGCAGTGGATGTCACACGGTCAGCTGGTGCTGAAGTTCCAAGCCACCACATTCTGAACCATCTAACAGTTTACTTGCAGCCACTCTTAACCAGACTTTTGACTTCTCTTGCAGATATTCAACAGAGACTTTGTTCCTAGATTTTGTTATACATGTGTCTTAGCTGGTGCAAGTCTTCAGAGACTTGCTGCAGACTTTCTCAGTCTATTTTTAGTTGGGTTGATTGTCTTCAGTCAAATTTAAAAGTTCAGCTGCAGCATACAAAACTACTGTTAGCTAGCCTATGTTGGGCATCTTTCTTCTGGGTTTCAAAGTAGCTTGTGTGTAGTTCTGGAAGAAACAGAGTCAAAGTATATTGCAGAGAAAAGATAATCAAAAAGTTTAATTTAGAGTATAATTGTTGTTGTTCTAGGTGACTTTCTTTAGGCAGAAAGCTGTCAAGTTTGTAATTGTCTTGACAAGTGTACCAAAGCTACTAATTAAATGCAGTAAAAACAATTATGCACATTAACAACAGATTTCAGAAAATCAAATCTTAGGGACAGAACCGAAGAGCTCTGGTCTTTCTTTATAGTTAGCTTCTAGATTGCTGGTATGTAATTACCTGTTAGAGTTATGTAGCAAGGGCAGCCTCAACTGAGAATAGAAAGCCTTGATTTATAAAGAATGTTCTATTTGCAATAGTGTGAGATGCAGCCAGGGTTGAACAGGGTTAGTGGCAGCTCTCTCACAGGAGAGTTCCTCACTGTGTGTGAGAGCATTGTTGGCATCAAACCTTTGACATGTTCAGAGTGCTGCATTGCTGGTGTTTGTTGCTTTCACAGATTCACAGGTTTCTTTTACTTCCTTCACTACTTTCTTTCATACTGTTTTATGCAAGATATCTTTTCTGTTTTCAGACTCAACCTTTTAAAGCCCTTAAAAGCTGATTTAAAATGTGAGCACTGATGTTCCTCTTTGTTTCTCTGGTATTATATGATTGCAGTTAAACATACCAAGATGTGCTTTCTACCTGTTGTAATGGCCAGCCAGGACACAAAGAAGTCACTAGTTGATATGCTGCATCTGTTCATGTGATACCCCTCAATCCCAACAGTGTTTATCCCATTCCATGGGCCATAATCCAGTTGTTAATCTGACAAGTCCCTTTTCTCCAGACACCACACATCAGTTGAATAAAGTGATGCATAAAAAGCATTTCAGAGTGAAGAATCATTCATTCATTGAAGTGAGTACAAAAATTAGAAAAATGAGTTAACACAACAAACCACTTTCTGTGCTTGTTTTCTTAACTAAAATTCACAGTGGCAGTAATAGCTGGCCTTGCTGTCAGTTTTCACAGTCATGCTTTGGCTGCTTGCTCCTCCGTTATGATGCTGGTATGTTTAATCCCTTTGGAGTTTTGGAAAGAGGAAATCAGGCAGTTTTGTGGCAGCCAAAGAGGCTCAGGCATTGTTATCTTACCCTCTGAAGCTGTTGAACCCAGGAGCCTAATCTGTGACATACTTTCATTTCCTGCTTGGTTCCTCTTAGCAGCAGCTTTTAATAGAAATCTGTAGTCAGGCAAGGTAAGTATTTCAGGTAGAAGTATTTAATCAGTGCTTTTAAAATGCTGATAAAACCAGGAACACTTTTTTGTTTGCTGTATATATATTTGGGCAAATATTGTAATTGGTAGCATGCTTTTTATGTTATGAGGTATTTTCCCTATTGGTATGGAAGAGTTGATCTTTTTATTGAGGTTTTTCTTTTATACTCTGTTGAAATAAGGAAGTGTTCCAATTAGTGTTTAATTACCAAAACAATTTCATTTGTTGTCATAGCTCTCTGAGGTTCTGTAGAATGTGTGCCAGGAGAACACCATAAAGTCATTCTGACTTAAGAGTAAGGCTTCATACCTTTTTAATCTTACATCTCCATTTTCTTCCTTAATGCTTTCTTTCAGACAGAGAACGAGAACGCCAGAGAGTAGCTGTGGAATTAAACCCAAAGACTGTGAATGGAGTAGAACAGCATGAGCCCCTTCAGTCATCAGTTCAACTCCAGTGTAACCTAGGCAGGCCAAAGTCAAAATCTTCCTCAGTTAAATCACCCAATGCGTCAACCCAGCTTGAAACAAAGACAGATGATTCAGTCAAAAAAAGAGGTAAATTGGGTCTCTGGTTGCTGTGTTCTGAGGTCCAAAACCAGCTGAGGCCTCTAGGAAAAAAACTACAAATTCACATAAGTTAATAAGAGATGTATTGGAAAGTACGAGCAGAATTATAGCAAAATTAATAAAACAATTTATGGTATATTTAACATATTAAACTGAATAATTTAAACTAATAATGCCTTTCTAATATTTATTTGATTTGGGGGTGCATTTCAGCAAACATGTTTAGAAACTGAAGAGCACTAGGACTGTGGAAAAGTTGGATTTATGGACTTCAGTAGAATAACCACTTCATTCTAATCTGGGCAAATATGTTGAACTATTCCTGGTGCCTCATTCAGGAAAACTAAAACCAACTTTCTGACTACCGTGCAATTTTTGTTTTCTATTTTAGGGCCAAACATTGAAAAGTCAGTAAAAGACTTGCAACGTTGCACTGTTTCTCTAACCAGATACCGTGTGATGATCAAAGAGGAAGTGGATAATTCAGTGAAGAAGATCAAAGCTGCTTTTGCAGAATTACACAGCTGGTAGGTAAATCAGCTGCAGAGATCCATCAGCTCCACTTAGAAAAGGGACTAATTAAGCCACTGGCATTAGTGGAGAGGGGTCATTTACACCCTTGTTGTTTACAGCATTTGGTTTCATTAAAAAAACCATGGTGCCATTCAGTAATGACACTCCTCACCAGCCAGGAAGTAATATATGCATATATTGTATACATACATAAAGTTCTTTGAAGAAAACTCGGTTTTTTAACTTCTAAATTATCCATCTTGACCTAATTCTTTTGTATCAGATTCAGTGGCAAGTTATATGAGCAAGTGAAAGCTGTTCTAAATATCCTGTCTGGGATTTTCTGAAGTCTCTTTTACCTTCTTTAAAGCTCTTCCTTCTATACTGAATCTTTGATCTTATCTTCTTCGGCAGACAGTCCTTTACTGTCTCTTCATGTCCCATCATCTTTGCTTTATGTCCTACCATTGTTCTCTTAACTTTCCCTCCTAGTTCCTTCTAAGTTTCCCATCCATCATTTAATTTCCAATTTGCATCTCTAGTTCATTCTTTTTCCTATTTTTTTATGTCTTTAATCTATTTTTTCCATTGTAATTTTGATTACTGTTGATCTTCAGCATGTATACCTATGCCCTTTCAAAACTTACAGCAGAAATAATTGCTGTAGTAGCAAGTTGCATATTTGGTATATTCTTGCCATAGAAAAGTATTTTCTGCTTTGAGTTTCACTCGGCCTTGGTTAAACACAGATGTCATATAAAACCTATGCATTAAACAGTGTTGAAGTAAATAGAAGAAGTCATGTTAAAATGTACAATACTTGGTTACAAATCAGAGAAGAGTGAAAAACCTTTCCCCTTTAATTCAATCACAGTATTTGTCAGTATTTTTATGAGCATATCTTGTAAAAGAGCAGTAGTATTGGCAGAAGTTTGTTAACTTTGGACTTCAGTGGTGTATTCATTGTCTTCAAAGATGCATCTAAAGCAAGTTTAGAGCCATTGGGGCTTCACTTCTGTATGGGCAGAAAATTCAAGTGCTGCTGAGCTGATTTTGGGGAAGATTCTGGTTCACTGAGCCCTCAGTGTACTTTACTGTATAGCAGGGAGAGCTGTGGTTTTGTCTCCAGTGAATGTGAGCTGTGATCACCTGTTGTACTAAATTTGGTAACATTGTCAGGATTGTTGTGGAGCCATTGCAGTGATTTTTGCTTATGAACTTAAATGTAGTAATAAGATTGTTGGGATAGAAAAAATGAGCAGAGTTCATCAACTCATTGCACCTTTTCTTCATAGTTCTCAGAGGGAATCTTTTCTCTGAGAAAACTGTAGTTGAATTTGTAGTTGCTCACTTTTTTTATATTTGGCAGCAGTGTTAAAAATACCTTATGTCACATGTCTTGCCTTATCTGCAGGCAGTCACAGGCAGTTCAGTCTTTAATAAATTGTCACTCTGGTCATAGAACAGACTTAGAATTCTGTCATGATCAAAAAGTGCAGGGAGGTAGTAAGTTCAGAACTGAACTTCTTCATTTTTCATATATGCATATTTTAGTTTGAAAAACAGTAAAGTGTATTGCCTAATACTAAAATATCCCAAAACAGTTTGTAGATGCAAGTACTTAAAATGATGAAAATAGCCTGGAAAACTTTTCAATAGGCTTCATTTCATTTTGCCTCCTACCAGCTTCAGTGGCTAAAAATTATTGAAGTGGAGTCTGCTGGAAGCTCTAGGATGTAATAGATCTGTGGTCTGAATATTTGTGCCTCAGCATAACATTGCAGCGAGGACAGTACAATGTCAGGAGATGTTTATGGAAATCTCAGTGCTGGCTGTGTTGCTTTTGGCAGCTCTTAAGTCTAACATTTAGGTTTTTCTTCAAATGAATGAAGGGGATTTTTTGTTTAAACAGTAAACTGCCTGACTTAACACCTTCTTCACTAAAATTAAAGAGAGATTTGTGATATTCCATATGATCTTGTGGCCTAAACTTTGAGGAAGATGGGCACAGCTGTTTTAATGCCTTGTTTCCAAAAAGTCCCTGACAACTGCTGTAGATGTAGTGGATTTGGGTAGAAATCACCTGAACCAGTGATACATACACCCTCAGACCTCATACAAGGATCCCATTGTATTCCTGAGCTGCATGGTTTAGTGTGTGTTATTTACATGGGAGATTCCTTGCTCCAGAATTGAACAAAACATCTCCAGTGCTAGCAGGAGGATAAAGTTTTAAGTGAGCATATTTATTACCCTCCTTTGGCATAGAGTTTCACTGTGACACAGTCAACTTGTCTGTCATGGAAAAGTGAAGGAATTCAGCTGAACTGTTGCTCCCAGAATGCTATGGAGTGACCAAAGCAAGGGCATGATGTCAGGTCTCCAGTGTGATTGTGATTCCAAAGCTTTTTCCAGGTTCCTCTCCCAGTTCCTGCTGGAGTGTAGGCTGGTTGGGATGGACAGCAGGTACAACAGCCACCAAGTGCTGTCTGTGTTCTGCCAGGAGTACTGGAATGAGCTCAATACTGTAACCCCTTCCTGTTACACACAGCTGTCACCACCTAAGGGCCTTTAGTGAAGCTAAATGAAGTCAGAAGCTTTTATCTTGAACTGCAGCTGAATGTTGAAGCACATACTAATTTGTCTCTTTTGGGTTTATTTTTCTTCCTTTGATAATAGGATATAAGACCACTTTTGTGTCCTTTTTTGCTATGAAGATCAGAATCAAAACTTCATTGCAAGAGTCAGTATTGACTTTGTGATGATCTGTTTTGGTTTTTTAAATATTTCCATTATTTTACCAGTCACAGAAAGAATGAAGATTGCAAAGATAATATCATGTATCTTCCTCCTACTTCCAGACAGTAAATGAAACCATTATTATGGAGTTAAATTAATAGCACATGTGGCCTAAGGTGTCCTGAAAGCTTTAGCAGAAACATTTACAAGAACTTCTTTTAACAGCAGAAACTATTGAGTGATAGCTGCCAGTGAAAATCCATGTTTCTCACTGGCTCAGTATTTCACAGCTTGATCTAACCAATAGGGAAGTTACTCCTGAACATGTACAATGCTACTATTTAAAAAGTCACCTATCTGGCAAAATAGTGGATACCCTCCCACAATCTGAAAAACAGTGCTAGGGAGCAGATGTGCTGTGAACCCCTGTAAAAGCCTGGGGGAAAAATGCAATGCTTAGTCCAGTTTTGACTTTGTAGTAAAATGGGGCAAATAACAATCCCAGAAAGATGTTTATTTAAAAGCATTGCATTGGGCTCACTTCCTCTTTCTTAAAGAGTCCCACTGAAGTTTCTGGTAACTGGAGTAATTTTCTGTGTGCTTGGAAGAAGTGATATCAGCTTGCATTTATTCAGTTCTTTTCATGCCAGAACACACTCTAGCATTTTACAAGCCATGGGGCACTTTGCCCCACAAGAAGTCTTTTGCAGTCTCATGTGGATTGTGCTCCTGCTGTGATCCAGCACTCTGGGCACCCCTGCTCTTGCTGGGCTTTCTGTGACATTGCTTTCTCAAGGTTATGAGAGCACTCAGCAAAGCAAGCTGAAGGGCAATATTCCTTAGGAGAAAAATCTTCTTGATAGTACTCCTTGATCCAGTATTTCTCCTCGTTGCATTCAGCTTTGGTGTCTGGTTTTCAGGAATACCTTTATGTGAGTGAGAACATCAGATGCTCCCCTTACTACTTCAATATAAAAAATATCTGTGTAGCCATGTCCCCCAGTACTGTAGAGCACAGAAAAGAATGCTACCAATAGTCCTTAAGTTGCAGGGGAAGGTTAAAAAAGCTAAATGAACTCTCCTCTCACCAGAGTGCACTTGAGATATTTGTTGCCAGGCTTAAAAGCTACAGGCATTAACTGTGTTCTCACTTTTCCACCAAGAGACTGAATAACCATCCTGGGGATAAAAGGAGAGCCCCAGGAAATCTGAGTGAAATGTGTACAACACAAAAGGAGCCACAGTTCCCCATAACACCTCTTGCCAGAAAATAATTTTCACATATTGGGCATTCATACAGTCATATGGAAAACTAAAAGGAAACATCTGCTACTTGCCCATATGGTCTGCTGCCAGCCACAAATAGTCTGTAGAAAACAGAAAGAACCAGGTTTAATTACACTGCATGCAGAACTGAAGCACATAAATACAAGCTTCTCTACTCTTTTCTAACATGTTGGTATGTCCAGTGCTGTGTAAAGAGCTTGAAAATCAACACAACTGAATTTTTGGAGTGAAGGAAAAGCAGTTGAAAGCTTTACCATAGGCTAGATAAAAAAATTAATCTGATATAATGCTGGGAAGATGGGAGTTTGGCAATACTGACAATTTAAAAATATAATAAAATAGATTCAGGGTAACAACAATTAGAAAGCATGTGCTGTATGTTTGGGAAAAATTAAGCAGTTTTTGTATTGGTTTCTAAGTTAAAGCAGAAGGGTGGTTGAATTGCGGAAGAAGTAATCTAAAAGAACTGAATTATATCTGTACTTCTATAGTTGTGTCTGCACTGACTCAGTGTGGGGTAGTGAGCAGTGGTGCCAGTGCTCACAGTTGCAGAACAGTGAGAACACAGTTGCCCCTTCCTGGGACCCCTGCTTGGCAAACTGTAAAGATGATGGTTTTCTGTCACCTGTAGCCCAGAACCAGTGGCAGCAGATGAGAGCTGCCTGTTTGTGCTGTGGTGGTTTGGAGATGGGCAGATGGCTGGAAAGGCCGGGACTAGTATTGCTTTACACTGAACAGAGTTCTGTGCTCTTTTTTGCCCCATTTCCAGGCAGCTCTTAGGAGGTTTCTGTCTGTCCAGCTACCTTTGGTAGTCCTTATGCTTTTAAAGCCTGGGTTTTCAAATCCTCTTGCAATTTGTTGTGATGTTTAAAAGCCCATCAGTCACACGATCCAGTCTTTAACCTTGTCAGCACAAAGATAAAAATAATCTCCTTGCATCCAGGTTTCCTAGGCCCCGCTGGGTTTTCAGGTACCTTCAAAGATCAGT